CAGTGCGTGCTCGCATTCCTCGTTCCATTCGAATGCTGCTTCCTTTCGGAGGAGCTTGAAGAAGGGGAGGGCGTGCTGAGCGGACTTCGCGACGAAACGGGACAGCAACGTCAACATGCCGTTCATGATTTGTATCGACTTCTTCGACATCGGTGTCGGGAGGTCGGAGAACGCTCGACATTTGTCGGGGTTGGCTTCAATCCCTCGTTCTGTTAGATAGAATCCTAGGAATTTTCCTGCCTTAACCCCGAACGTGCACTTCTCGGGGTTGAACCTCATTTTGCACTGTCTTGCTTGGGCGAAGACTGTCTTGAGATGAGCCGCGTGATCGGTGTCTGCTCGGGATTTGACGATCATGTCTTCCATATATACCTCGAGCATGTCGCCAATCTGTTTGTTGAACACTTTGTTCATCATGCGTTGGTAAGTTGCACCGGCGTTCTTCAGTCCGAAGGGCATTACGTTATAGTAATAGTTGCCCGAGCTGGTCATGAACGCCGTGCAGCGTTTGTCACCCAGAGCCATTGGGATTTGATTATATCCCGAATAGGCGTCCATGAACGACAAAGTCTTGTAGCCGGCCGAATTGTCGACCAGCATGTCTATGTTAGGTAGAGGAAAAGCATCCTTCGGGCAAGCCCGATTGAGGTCGGTATAGTCAACACACATTCTCCATTTTCCATTATTCTTTTTAACAAGTACAACATTTGACAGCCAGGTGGAATACCGGGCTTCAGAAATAAAATTTGCCTCTAGGAGGTCTTTTACAGCTTTTTCAGCAGCCTCCGTTTTTTCTGGAGACTGCCTACGCCTACGTTGTACTACGGCCTTGGCGGATGGATCAATGGCGAGGTGATGACAGGCGACCTCAGGGTCGAGTCCGGGCATCTCTGCAGCGCTCCATGCGAAGAGATCAGCATTCTCGCGCAGACAGGCCTTGATTTGCTTCCTGGCCAAGTCGGGGAGGTCTTTTCCAATCTTCACTCCCTTGGTCGGGTCTGCTCCGAGGGGAACGAGTTCAAAATCACCGTCCGGAATAGGTCGGAGTGGGATTTGCTCGCTGCTGGATGGCTCGTCTTGGTCGAAGCGAGCGTCGAGGGCTATGGAGTCGACCTTTGGTGGAGCCTTCTGGACTTCTTCCTCGGGGGATGCTCTGTCGGGCTCCTGCTTTGTCCTCTTGGTGGGTCTGGTCCCCACGTCGACGGTATCCCGTCCCCTTGAAGCGGCGTTGAAGCACCTGCGGGCAGCGGCGAGGTCTCCCTGGATGGTGGCTACCCTTGCCCTTTTGGTGTAGAACTTCATTTTTAGATGGACAGTTGAGGGCACCGCTGTCAGCTCCGCCAATGTCGGCCTCCCCAAGATGCAATTGTATAGGGACGGGCAATCAATGACGAGGAAGCGGACCTTAACCTGTCTTGTAGCCGTTCCTTCCCCGAACGTCACCAGGAGCTCGACATAACCCCAGGGTTTGGAAGTCGAGCCGTTGAAGCCTTGAAGATCCAAACCCACATACGAAGAGAGATGTGAGTCGTCCAGTTGCAAGGTCTGGAACAGCTGGCTGTACATCACGTCGACGGAACTCCCTTCGTCGACCAGGATGCGATGCACGTCAAAATTGGCCATCTTTGCCCTTATCAGCAAGGGGATGACTGCGTTCGGGGCTCCGCAGGGGAGTTCTTCTAGGTAGAAGGTGATGGGCTCTGACCTGCCCTTCACCTTTTCGAACGTCACAGTTTGTGGGGGAGCTGTGTCGACCAGTTCGTCCAACTTCCTCTTGGTCGAATTGATGGTGAGGTCGTTGAACCCGCCCCCGTTGATGACCATGGCGGAGGGGAAGTATTCCCACCTGCTGTGTGTTGTCAGGGGCTCCTGCAGGAGCTCGGGAACGTCGAAATCCTCGGGCCTGGTTACCGAGAAGGCGGTCTGGATTGGTACCGACTCGTCTGATGGTCGGGCATCCTCTTCGGGCTCCTTAGCTTCATGGGCGTCACGACGGGGAGCGTCGTTTCGCCTGTACTGTGCGAGCCTCCCTCCTTTGATGAGGGTTTCAATGGCGTCCTTGAGGTGGACGCAGTCCTCTGTCAAATGGCCATGACTCCTATGGTATTGACAGTATTTATTTTTGTCTGCCCCTGGCTTGGCGGGAGCAGGTCGGGGACGCTTGACGCCACCGTCTCTGAAATCTGTGCTAGCACACTCCGCCAAGATACGCTCGCGGAAAGCCGTGAGCGGAGTGTACTCGGTGAAACGGCCCGAGGGGCCCCTTTGTTCCCGGACCTCCCGGGGTCGATCTTCCTTCCTTTTCTCCCCGGTGCGTCGGGGAGGAGGGTCTTGTCGCGAGCTGCTGCTATGATTGGGAGCGCGAGCCCTGGAGTCTCGTGCCCTATTGACAGCTTCTCTCTCCTCGTAGTTCATGTATGCTCGGGCTTTGTCGAGGAGAGCATCAAAAGTTGCAGGTGGCTCAATACCCACATCTTTTCTGAATTCTGTGCCGGGGAGGAGGCCCCTCTCCAGCAAATATCTTTTCATATGGTCCGCGCAGGGGACCTGTATTGCTTCCCGGTTGAAGCGGTTGATGAATTCCCTCAAGGTTTCATCCTGTCTTTGGATGATGGCCTCGAGGGCCGTCTCGATCTTCGGGTGGCGCCGAGAAGCTGTGAAAGAACTGATGAACTGGTTCTTCAGGTTCCGCCACGAGGTAATTGAGCCCGGGGCGAGACCTTTATACCAGTCCATGGCCGCCTTCCTGAGAGTTGTGGGGAAAAGGCGGCATTTGATGGGCCCCCCGACATTATGATAGTGGAGCATGGCTTCGAATCCGTCGATGTGGTCGACCGGGTCCGCTACTCCATCATACTCCTTCAGATGCGGGGGCTTCTCCATGCCCGGGTGGATAGGGGCATCCATGATGGCCTGCGACAGGGGACCGCGAGGGTCGTCCTCGTCGCTCCTCTCCGGAGAAAGAGAAGGGGTCCTGTAGTTATGTCTGGAACGATGATCGTGCTGAGATTCCCTCGAGCGTGATGCTCGGTGGTTGAAGGTCACACGCCCGTCTCCGGCGTGCCTCTTGTCGTGCTTGGATGGGTCGCGACTGGGCTCTTCGGTAGGGATGACGGGCTGTCTCTCATAGTAGGGCCGCCTCTGCTTTGGCCGGGGAGAGGGGCTCCTGGATTTCTCCCTATAGTGTCTCCGCGGGGGAGAAGGGTGTCGAGTTTCCGTGACCCGAGGAGGAGGAGAATGTGGCCTCCGATGCGTCCTCGGGGGTCTTCGATCATCTTCAAGTGCCCTTAATCTTTCTCCTTGGGCGAAGATCAGGTAATTTGTCTGATTAATGGCCGCGAACAGTGCCTGGGTCGTGGCATCTGCCCCGGCGGGGACTGGGACTTCATAGAACCGGGCAGCTCTGCGATAGGCGAGAGCTACCGGGTCGTCTTTGAGTGCTGGAGGGGTCGTAGAGGACGATACAGTAGCCTCGTCCCTGCGGGAGGAAGGCCCAGGGGCGGTTGTCACAGGGATGACATTGTGGCCGGGATCACCGGGATTGTCGAGGTGTCCATTCTTGTCCGCGGGGCCGTTATTAGTGTCGGCGACACGGACGGGTTGCTCGTCGTGAGCTGGATCAGCCATGACAGGTAGTTGAATTGAGCTTTGGTCCTTAGAATTGTTCGTTAGACGGGGAAGCTGTTTCCCACAGACGGCGCCACTGATCTGACCTGATCAGAAATGGACCGTCACGGCTGACTCCGAGCAGAAAGCTTTTTTGAACGAGGTGGGGGGGTACCTGCAAGGCACTCCGATGCTAAAGTAAGTAGGAGTACGAGCAGATAATAGTAAGTTGAGGTTAGAATGATGAATACTTGACCCTCTGGAAACAGGGGGTATTTATAGCCCCCAGCGCTGGGCCAAGGTTCCTTCATTGGGCCGGGCAGATTTGGCCCAATGGAGAAACTGCCAGGTTCTACGTGGGTAGTGGGAACCCGCACGTGGTCCCCTTCCTGGATGTTCTGCGTGAAGTGCGTGCGGACGAAGACGCGGTCTTTCCGGAGTATCGTTGGGGGAACGGTGGACTGAGTCTGCCCTAGCTGGGATGCTCGAGACAACGTCGAGCTGGACAGCAGGGTGTCGAGCTGGACGTCAAGACGTGGAGCTGGACGGCAGGGTGTCGAACTGGACGGCAAGACGTGGAGCTGGACGGCAGGACGTCGAGCTGGACGTCAGGAGGTGGAGCTGGACATCATCACGTGGAGTTGGACAGCGGGATGTCGAGCTGGACATCAGGATGTCGGGCACGAATGTGACCCCTTTGCTCGGCGTGGTCCTCAGTAAGTCCCTTTGGACTGAGCCTTAGCAGTGCTTTTGGGCCTGTCGGGCCCAGTCCAGAACATATATATATATATATATATATATATATATATATATATATATATATATATATATATATATATATATATATATATATATATATATATTTTTGTGAATAATTATTAAATTTAAAAAAAAAAGAGTTTTATCAAAAATTTAGGAATATATCATAAAATTCAAGAAAATTATCGTTTTTTTGAAATTTTTGAAATTTTTTTCGAAATAACATGAATTTTACTAAAATTTTTGGAGGTGTATAGAAAATTTCAAAAAAAATCATGCTTTTTTGAAATTATTTTCAGAAAATACAAGAGTTTTTGAAAAATCTGATATTTCACTTTTTGAAAAAAAACAAAACTTTTTTTACACTAGCGAAAATTTCCAGTACAGAAATTTCAATATATTTTAAAATTTCTAAAAATAAAATAAAAAACAAAAATTTTGTTCTTAAACACACCAATTTATTCAAAGATATTTTTAGAATAAACCAAATTGAAGAGTAACATGTTAAATTCTCAAGTGTAAAAACCTATCTTCCAATACAAAAGTATAAGAGCATAAGTATCAATGTATTTTTGTCGTTCTTTCACATATTCCGAAGACACCAGTAAAAAAGGATGGATATTTGATTTCAAAATATGTTCTATAATTTGGCCACGTTCTTCTGCAAAAGAACAATCCTCAACACTGTCCAAAAAACACTGTAATTACATTGAAAAATATTATAATTAAATTTAAAGTATACTATAGTATTTTAATGGACTTATTTTAGAGTATTTAATGAGTTAGATGAATATTTAGAAAATATAGTTAAGTTGTTTAAATAATTGGAAATTGTAAAATAACATATAAAATTTAGTGGAGTCTATTTAAAGAGCCTAAATTACTTTTTTTCATATTTAGATCTGAATTGGAAATTGTTTAAATTACTTTTTTGGCAGTGTACGATTTCACGGTCATAGATCTGCAGTGGCGGCGGCAACACGTTTTCGGCGGCGACTATGGTAGTTGTCAGATTCAAATTTGTGTTAATTTCATATTTTAATCTATAAAATTATTATTCCACAACTTTGGTATATCTATTTGAATTCAATGTTAGGTTTTCTCAGTATCTACTAATTTAATGCTTGATACCAAACACTGGTTTATGCACGATAGTTGTTTGTATTAAGGTCGCAGAGATGTCAAAAATGAAAACTATGATGGTAGTGCATAAATCTGCATAAATCATAGTTAGTGTTATATGTTTCAAAACCATTTGAAGTGGAACAATTTATAGATTGGTTGGAAATTGGAATTAAGTTTATTCCATTTCCGTGGTAAATGCAAATTGGAATTAAGTTTATTCCATTTCCGTGGTAAATGCAAATTGGAATTGTCTCATCCTGTTCTGCATGTATAAGACAGAAGTATATTGTCATTGTAATTTTAAGCCTACAAACTTTGTTATTATTGTTATATAAGACAGAAGTTTATTCTCATTGAAATTTTAATATTGTTTTCTTGGATTGTTGAGAGAAAGCATTTCGAGTATTGCTACAGATTCGACAAAAAGCATATGCATAACTATCACTGTAAACCCAAAGTTTAAACAAAAAGGTATCAGTTTGGTTTTCCAGATTTTTTTAATAGTAAGTGTTTTCTCTGGTGTAAAATGTGCATGCCAACCATATGAATTAGCTTTTTGGTCAACTGTACTTTTATGTGAGCGTATCTGTGATTGTGAAACCTGTACTGTCTTCACGTAGGGGGTTTCAACTTATGAATCACAGTTGACTGGAAAATTTAGAGTGTTGAGGTGGATTGAAAACTCCCTAATTTTCAGAACTTTGAATTGTTAAGCGTGCCATTAAGTGTGTTATGGGGGTGGAAAAAATCTTCTACTTTCCAGGAGGTTTGAAGTGTAAACCGTTGCACTGCTAATTTAAATTTTCCTGATGCATTTTCTTCTGTTTTGCTTTGCAACATCTTTCTCTACCGAATGTGATGTGATGTGCAACTTCTTTCAAATGTTCATTGTTATTGAGGTAAATTTATGATTGAAGTAACTCTGAAGAATTTTGTGCCTTTGGTGGAGCAGGCCACATGGAATTTGGTTGTGTCTCAACACGATAAATCAACAAGAGATACCCAAAGAGCTAGCAGATTATTGCTCATGACCTACTCCACAACCCTTAACATCAGCTTGGAATGGTAAGCGAAGGTTGGTTTGGAAATATTAGAATAATATTAGAAACTAATTTAGCTGATACTCATTTACTATATTTATGGTATAATTATTTGGTTTCAATTGCTTTCAATATATTTTCCATATTCAGGGATTTGGTATAATTGCTCTGTATAGGACACCAATGCTCAATCTTTGGATTTTGCATAAATTGAGCGAGGATGTAAACAGAAAACGACAAGTCCGAGTGAGTAACAGTCATGAGACTCATATATCCAGTTGGATCTTTGAGGTCTTCCCCTTCAGCAAGGGCCAGCTGATGGTTTTGTTCAATAGGAATTTTCGCCGACTTTGCTCCTAATCAAATATTAGATCCAATGCATATTTACATTGCGAGAGAAAAATACCCGTGGCATTCCGTGAAACTTCAATACCAAGGAAATATTTCAACTTTCCAAGGTCTTTTATGTGGAAACAGTTGCCCAAATAATCTTTGAATTTATGTATAACATCACTTTGATTTCCTGATATAATTATATCATTAACATAAACCAGGACATATATCTCAGTGTTACAACAACACAACTTGAAAAGAGAATAATCAGAATAGGACTGTTCAAAGCCATAAGTTTTCAAGACATTCGACAATTTAGCAAACCAACATCTAGGTGCTAGTTTCAAACCATACAAAGATTTTCAAAGACGAAACACCTTATCAGGTGATTGGATTTTCAAAGACGAAACACCTTATCAGGTGATTGTTTCTCGAATCCAGGTGGAAACTTCATATATATTTATTCCTCCAAGTCCCCATGCAAGAACACATTGCGGACATCCATTTGATGTAGTTGGAAGTTCTTGGCTGCAGCAATGGCTAAAAATGTTCGAACTATCACCATTTTTGTCGTGTGAACAAACGTCTCATTATAGTTGATGCCTTCAACTTGTCTGTTTCCATGAATCACCAGTCTTGCTTTGTGTCGCTCAATGGACCCATCTGAATTATATTTGATCTTATAGATCCATTTGTATCCTATAGTTTTCTTTCTCGATGGTAAATCTTCAGTTGTCCATGTACCATTGTCCTCCAAAGCTTGAATTTCTTCCTTCATGGCATTTTGCCATTTCTCATCCTTAATAGCCTCGGCAAAAGAATTTGGCTCATGCCCTGCAGTAATTGCTGCCAAGAAAGCACAATGTTGTACAGAAAATTTGTCACAATTAACAAAGTTTGTAATAGGATAACATGTACCTGAAGATTTCGAAGGAAGTAGTGAACTGGCTGATAGGATTGTTGATACTCATTTATTGTATTTATGGTATAATTATTTGTTTTCAATTGCTTTTAATATATTTCCCTTTTAGATGATTTCCAGAGATTTGGTATAATTACTGTGATGTAGGACAAGTTATAACACTGAGATATATGTCCTGGTTTATGTTGATGATATAATTATATCAGGAAATCACAATGATGCTATACATAAATTCAAACCGTTTCCACATGAAAGTCCTTGGAAAGTTGAAATATTTTATTGGCATTGAAGTTGCACGGAATGCCACAGGTATTTTTCTCTCGCAACGTAAATATGCATTGGATCTGATATCTGATTATGGACTTCTTGGAGCAAAGCTTTCGACCATTCTTATTGAATAAAGGGGCAGACCTCAAAGATCCATCTGGATATAGAAGTCTCATTGGACGACTTATCTATTTGACAGTTACTCACTCGAAATTGTCGTATTGTGTTTACATCCTCGCTCAATTTATGCAAAATCCAAAGATTGAGCATTGGAATGCAGCTCTTAAGTTTGTTCGTTACTTAAGAGGTAATCCTGGGCAAGGAATTCTTCTAAGAATTGATTCTGATTTATAGCTTGTCCTACATCAGAGTAATTATACCAAATCTCTGAAAATCATCTAAAAGGGAAATATATTGAAAGCAATTGAAACCAAATAATTATACAATAAGTGAGTATCAGCGAAATTCATTTCTAATATTATTCTAATAGAAAAACATCTTGGGTCATATTGTCCTTAAGAACCTGTAGCATCACCACCATATTGCGGCCTATTCTTTAAATAAATTATGAGCAGTGACTTTTGAGTCAACCGGTAGCTGTAGAGATGTTGATGCATTGTTGTTCTTCTCTTTGCTATAAACTTTAGGTTGCCTAAGTTTTAATTTTGATATTCATTTGTTTTTCTTCTAGCAGGTGGCTTTAATAGCATGCAGGGTTCTCATTATTGAGTTTTCTTTGTTTGGGTCAGCTCACCGACGGTTGCCAATGTAACCAATTGATTCAAGGAATGTGAAGTGTAACAACTCGATTCAAATATGTAGGAAATTGATTCAATGTAACCAATATGTAACAAATAGCATTCACATATGTGACAAACTGATTCAAATATGTAGCAAATCTTTTCTTTGAAGTCTATTAGCTCTTGCAATGTAACACAATCCAATGAATTTGTAATGGAGGTTCAAATGTGCATTTCTTTAGTTTGAACAGTTTGTGGCTGTTCCAAAAGACTATAGAATTTGTAACCTTTGCGGTAATACGACAACTTAATTCAATGACATGAATTTGTAATGGTCATTCCAGTATGCATAGATTACGAAGTACAAAAAGGGACACTGCCCCTGTGTTGTTTATGTTGCTTAGATTTTCTAATTTAATTTAATTTTATGAATAAATGGTTGAAGGAGACGTCGTTGTTGGGTTATATATAAAATAAAATGCAACATTACCTCACCTTTTTTTGTTTACTATTAAAAGTCATTTATGATTTGTTTTTTAACTTTTATTTTTAACCAATTTTTGCATTTGTTTATTTCGATACTACTTTAATTTATGTAATATATTTTTTAACTTATATTACTATTAAATAAATTATTAATTTTCTAACATAATTTTTTCAGTTCACATATCATTGTATATTAATTTATTATTAAATTATTTTATTATTGTATTTTATAACTATTTCACACATTTCTAATTTTTTTTTTCTCTATTACAATACTAAAAAATTTATTTATTTGTATTATTATATTTGATAAACAAATGCGCGTAACATACTAATATTTGTGGTAACACATTAATATCCGTCTGAATATACGAATATTTACATCAAAATTTATATACGAACACACGAGTAACACACCAGTACACGTATGAATGTATAAATTTTCAAATCAAAATATGTGAGAATGGACGAGTAACAGTAGTACCCGTGCGAACGCACAGATATCGAGATCAAAATTCGTACGAACGCACGAGTTATTATTTAATTTACATTCTATAAATTTATTAGTTGATTTTTGTTATCTATCTTTCATTTATAATATTTTGTAAATTAATAAAATCTCCTTATTTTAACTTCATCAATGTTTTAATCTTTTCTAAATTCATTATTTTTTACAATTATTCTAAATTCTAATTTATTCTTTTTTTATGTAATAAAAATTTTACAATTTCATTTTAAGGTTATATATTCTTTCTTTTACGACTTTATTTTTAATTTTTCAATTTTAAATAAACACAATACAACTTTTATTCATAAAGAATATAAGTTTTATTAATGAGAAATCTTACTTTTATTTTAAATATATTTTTTTATTTCTATTAAAAAAATCATCTAAAATAAATACATATATTGTACCAGAATCCGTACATATGCTCGAATTTGCTATCGATTTTGTTTCAATTTACTCTAAATATAGATCTCTAGAATATTTAAGGGATGCACTTTGGTAAAAACACATATCTCACTTATACAATCAACTTATCGTTTTAATTCCGTAACAACATACCAAGTTTCCATTTTTACTCATCCACATTAACCACAGTAGACGATGCCTTCAATTACAATTATATTTACTAAAAAAGTTTAAAAATCACATATAAGTAGCCTTATGGCATAATTGATAATAAATATTAGAAGCTAATTACTACAAAATAAATTGACAGAATATTTAACTTAACTCCATATTTGATACATAATTTCCAAACAAACAATACAACATGTTAGGTTACAACCAATTGAATTCTCATCAATGACATGCCATATGTGGGAGGATTTATGCAACATCAAATGCATGAAAAATCAAGAATTTGCATAGAAGTGCTCACTCAGATTCAGCAACCACGCTCAGTTTGGATAAAGTATGTAAGTATGAGATGCAATCTATGGAGTGAATTAAGGTTGTCTGAATTTTTTTCGATTTTGCGTTTAGGATCTTATCTTGTTATTTTATCGAAAGCAAGATATTGAATGTTATATTCTTAAGATAATAAAATGTAGAAAATAAAATGCAAAAAAATAAAGAATACAAGACAATTATATTAGTTCTACTTATGAATCAAGAGTACTTCTAGTCCCTTCACATTTTGAAGGATTTTCCACTATGTTAGATCATGAATTAGAATTGAGTACCTTAACATCAAGATCAATTTCCTTTACTACAAATATTCATTATGCATTTTTGATTCTTGATTCCAAACTTTTTCTTTGAAATTTCTTTTTTAATAAGCTTTGCTCTTCTTTGATATTTTATAGTGTTTTTATTTTTAAGTTTATTTTTGGTTTTAATTTATTTTCGTATTTTATTTTCAGCTTAAACGGTTAATTGATACTTTCTCACTGTGCAGACCATAACTTGAGGTAAGGGAATTGGATTGACGCGTTCTAATATTTGTTCGAAAGCTGAGAGGATAAGTTACAATTTTCATGTTAAAGTTAAAAGATGATTCGAAGTTTAAAAGAGTCGAAAAATTTATTAAAGTTCCAAACTTAAGAAAATACATTGTTTTTGGGTCTGTTTTTGTAATTTTTGGATCGATTGCCATTAGGGCCCGAATTCTCTTGTAGTACTTAAGTGAAAATGCAGTACTACAGTGGACATTCTGAATTTTTACTGTTGACAAAATATTTTTCGGAAGCTTGGTACGAATCTTATAGAGAGCTAAAACTTCCTCTGAGTTGATCTGTTGTATTGAGGTTTCGATTATTTGAGGTTAATATAATTTTACAATTCATATTGATCCTGTTTTATGCTATTCGTTTGCTTAATTCAAATTATCATAGAGTAGTTTTGTTTATTCGATTGATTTATGTTCCCTAAATTTGATTGCGTGTTATCATTTGCTTAATTAGTTAGTTTGCTTATTTCTTAACTGTTTGCTTGAATCGATGAAAAGGAAACATAATTCTTATAATTTCATTCTCGCTTATTGATTGATTTTGTGATCGAATATGAATAGAATCTACTTAGGGCAGTGAAATTATAGTAATTGATGATATGTAAGAACCAAAACATCAGATTAACTTATTTTCATAATCACTTTTTTTTAGTCATTTTTCCTTGTTTTCTAAATTGAAATTAAAGCTAAAGCTAAAAAAACCCCAAAATTGATTTCATTTGGTTAATCAAACAAGAGTCCCCGCGATACGATACTCGAATTGTCGTTACCGTAACTACATTTAAAATTTATTCGTTTTTGACTTGTGCGCGACAGCGGATCAAATTGACGCTGTTGCCGGGGACTCTTTGTTGATTTTGGCCAATTTTAGAATTCTAGTTTAGAGTTTTGTTAGATTATTTCTTTTTTGTTTGTTGATTTTCAGGGTTGCAATACGAGTTGCAGTGGTAAGTGTTTCATCCTATAAGGTAAGTTTGGAAGCTAGTGTTTTGATTCGCTCCGAATTTTTTTCTAGAAAATTAGAAAAAAAACCGACGAACACTACTCCTTTAGAATTCTCTTTAGAATAGAATTCTAAAGGATTTTGACCCTCTAAATCACAAATTCCTCTTTTTTGTAATTTATTTTATTTAATTTCTATTTTCATATTTTCTAAAAAATCCAAAAAAATTGTAGGTTCATGATTTTATTTGATTTGATTTTTAGTCAGATTTATTTTTAGATTTTATTTTAAACGCTTTTCTATTTTTCCATTTTGTTTTCTCAACATGGACATTGTTGGCAGTTGTGTAATTGCTGCATTGTAATGCGTTATGATTTTATTTGAATTTGTGTTGATTTGATTTTGATTTGATTATTGGTTTGATTCTCATTAGTGATAGTAATTTTATTTGATTTTGAATTTGAT